ATGTATATTAAACTCCTCTTTTAAGAGGAAAGTCATGTTAACCCCAAGTTTAGGGTCTTACGATCTCTGTCTATCTGTCTCTGGCTTTGTCTATCTGTCTCTATCTCTTTCAGTCTGTCTTTATCTATCTCTGTCTCACATGTACACATAAATACAAGTACGCGTAGTATAAATTACCTAGGATAACCCAAAAATCTAGACAAAGTGCTATACTCTGCTTGAAGATGTGAGTAAAGGTGACGCAGTCTTGTGGCTCTCTCTGAGACAGAGAGCTAGACGGATAGACAGGGAGCTTGACAGACAAATATACAGACAGAAATGTTTGTGTACCAGCAAAAACAAAGCGAGAGGGATTGGTCATCTAATCTTTTCTTATCAGCTGCACCCTCCCCCACCCCCGTGTACAAAGGTCAGCTCTTATCAGATGTTATCTCCCCTTATCATGTCACTGTCAGGGGTGGACTTTGTTTTTCATGCTTCAAGGGAACTTATTAATAGGCATTATTATTATTACAAAGTAGCAGCAGCAGCAGCTGCTGCTGCTACTGCTGCTGCTGCTGCTGCTGCTGCTGGTTGCTGCTGCTGCTGGTTCTGCTGCTGCTGCTTCCCTGCTGCTGCTGGTTCTGCCGCTGCTGCTGCCGCCGCTGCCACCGCCGCTGCTGCCGCCTCTGCTGCTGTCGCCGCTGCTGCTGCCGCCGCTGCAAAACATTGCTGGGACATATAAATACTTCGTTTATATTCCAAAACAATAGTAAATGGCCAAGGCAGGTGTAAATGTCCACCTGTCAGTGTGTTTGTGACAATTTCAGTACCCAATACTAGTCAGAACAAAGATTGGTTATGAAATGACAAGAACTACTACAAATTGTAATTATCAGAACATAAAAATAATATGAAAAATAGAGAAAAAGGTATATCGACAACACTTCTGCAAGCAGCAGGACTCGATGTTGCTGTCACATGAGCATCCAGTGCCAACTTCTCTGCCTCATATCTCTGTAAGTACTGACCCTATTTTTTTTTTTTATTCTAAAACGCTTAAAAAATGTGTTTTTTTTTTTCCAAAATATTCGGGGGGGGGGGGGTGAACATATATACAGTGGACCCCCGAGTTTCGTGATTAATCCGTTCCAGAGAGCCCGCCGAAGGTCGAAATTCACGAAACTCGAAACCCTTTTCCCCATAAGAAATAATGGAAATAAAATTAATCCGTTGCAGACACCCAAAAATATTAAAATAAAATTTTTTTTTTTTTTTCAAATTAAATAAAGAGTTACATAATGAAAACAATCAGAAATCAAGTACATGCATTTAAAATAAATAATAATAACATTACACTTACCTTTACTGAAGACTTCTGGGTGGATGGAAGATGGGAGGAGGTGATAGGAAGAAGGCGTACACTATTGTTTGGAAGGAGAATCTCCTTCCATTAGGACTTTAGGTAGCTAGTCCTTATCTGGGGTTACTTCCCTTCTTCTTTTAATGCCACTGGGAACAACTTGAGAGTCACTGGACCCCTGGCGCACAAAATATCTATCCAGAGAGGTCTTTTTCTGGCGTTTCTTTAAGATTTCCCTGAAGTGGGACACAACACTGTCATTCTACATGTTGCAGATACGGCTTGTTTCAGCTTGTTCAGGGTGATACTTTTCAACAAAACTTTGCAACTCATTCCACATTCCACACATGTCCTTAATCACTGAAGAAGGCACCTCATCCACTCCCTCTTCCTCCTCCTCTGAAGCAAGTTCCTCGGTTGTGGTCTGATGCTGTTCCAGTTGAAGCTCTTGCAGTTCGTCAGTGGTTAGCTCTTCCCTGTGGTCCTCCTCCAACTCTTCCACATCCCCATCACTCTATTTACCAAAGGGCTTGCACTAGCTTTCCTTGGGTCCATGATGGCTTATTTAGCAGTTGCAAGCACAAAAAACATTGGATTATTTTGAAATGTATTGTATGAACCCGCGGGGTGATGGTCACGTGTTGGTAAACAATGGCACACTGAGCGTGAATGGCGTGGGAGACTGACTTTGTGTGCGCGGTGACGGGCGGACGGGTACCAGACGGTCGCCAAAACAGGAGTTTTTTCACGAAACTCGAGGCCAAATTTTTCCAAAAAAAACTCGCCGAAGGTCGAATTTCGCGAAAGTCGAGGCTTCCGAAACTCGGGGGTCCACTGTATATATGTTTGGACCGTTTAAGGGTTAAAGATAAATAATATATACTGTATGAGATGTAAAATTTAAAATACAGTTCACTGCCATGTATACATAATATACAGTACATAAATGATTTAAATATATCAGTAGAAGTAAATTATGGTAAAAAGAATGAAATAATGATTGTACATTACATTACAGTACTATGTAAGTAGTTTACATAGCAAATGTTTGACATTATGCCCTACCCAGTATGTCGGCAATTTTCAAAGGTTGACTTGCGTGCATTTTGACTTACGATCAGTAGGTCGGAACCAAGCTGGTTGTAAGTCGAATGGTACCTGTCGTAGGTTGCTAGACAGCAACCAACCAGGGAGATATTATTGTCCTGTGAAATGAGTGTAAGACAAACCTGTATTTGTTTTACATGATAGTAGGAGTGCTGGCGTCTTTTTTCTGTCTCATAAATACACAAGATAACAGGTATATCTTGCTACTTTTACTTACACTTAAGTCACATTACACATGCATGTACACATTTATGTATACACGCTCATCTGAGTTTTCTTTGATTTTTTCTTAATTCTTGTTCTTATTATTTTCCTTTCTTATCTATGGGGAAGTGTAATAAGAATCTTTCCACCATAAGCCATGTATGTTGTAAAAGTCAACTAAAATGCTGGGAGCAATGGGCTAGTAACCTCTTTTCCCATATAGCTTGCCAGAAATAAAAAATAAAACCATAGTTTATTTATACTGATGAAAACCATGTGTTTTCATAAGGCTGCATAAAACTTTTAGGTGCAAATCTAATTGAAGGGAAATAATGTCTTTCTATAAGCTTTAATATGTATACCATTATGGTCAAGAGAACTGAGTATTAATTAGGAAGAGTAATTTATTGGCTTTTGGCAGTATTACCTTGGTATTTATAGAACAAAGGATTGTAATTGGCTAGTTTGCAGAAGCCACACTCGTTGGTTGCTATTTCTGTATTCTTCAGCCGTACCTTATCTACTTATGCTCTGCATGTGTTGTACAATATAAACAGATTTATAAATATATAAAATAGCTGAACCTATCTTTTTACAGTGATGACGACACAGACTACCGAGAAGCAGGATGGGCTGCGAGCTCTAGAAGGTGCTATTGAAGAGGTTACTTCAAAGATCACTAGCTTTGGTGGAACACTCACTGTTAAAATGGCTCCAAAGGTGATATTATTATTAGTAGTATTAGGTATTCCTTGCAGTGTTTTTTCTTTAGAGGAAAATGAGAATGCTCATTTTTAACAAGTTAATGACTTTTTGCCAATTTAACCCCTTCAGGGTCCAAGGCCAAAATCTGAAGTGGTGCTCCAGTGTCCAAGAAATTTTGAAAAAAAAAAAAAATTATTTTTCTTACAGAATTAAAGAGCATATTTTTGTGAAGGTAATAAGACAAAAAAAAAAATTCTGATCAGTACTTACCGAGATACAGTGCCAAGAAGTTTGTCCAAAATGACGTGGTGGCGGCAACATCGACGAATTTCACATACGCACATTACTTTATTTAGCAGTTTTTGTAGTTTTTTTCTTATCCTACTAACATTTGGGGCCTGAGAGACCAATACTGTATACAATGTATATATATAAACTCACTGTATTGAACACAATAACCGCACTAAAGTTATTATCATATTATTGTTTACCACTGTTGTTTATTACAATAAACATGCACAAATCTTGTATAATACTAATGTTCTATCATATATTTACATATTTACAATCACTGGACATGGTTTTAGAACTGCTGGAGCTTGTGGAACTCCTTGAAACAAGGCACCATGCACAGAGGTACCTTACATTCCTCACACATAAACCGAGTGTCTTTGAGTCTTTGTTGCCGTCGTTTTGTTTGTGCACAGACGATGCATCTCTTCTGAGTTGAAGGAAGCTGTATTATGAAATGATCACCTTCCCTCAAACCCTTAGGTATATCCTAAGGAATTCGAGGACCTTGTTGTATAGCAGGTGTTCTTACCTGGTACTTCATTATGAGTTGTCTGACAACAGACAAACAAAATTCACCATACAGTGGTCTGTTGCCAGTCTTCATTTGGTACATATTATATGCATTGAGCATTGAAAGGTCCATGAGATGGAAGAAAAGTTTCATGTACCACTTGTAACTTTTACGAACACAATCAACAAAACCAATCTGCATGTCACATTTGTCAACCAAGCGCATGTTTTGTGTATAATCAATCACTGTCACTGGTTTTCGAATACGTTCTTTAGTCACTCGATCAACTTTGCCACTGTCTTGCATTTCATTACAGTGAATGGTTGTCAACAATGTGACATCTCGTTTGTCATGCCACCATAATGTCATGATGTCATTGGCAGTAAACACCTGCACGTCATCACCATGAGCACCTGCGTTGAGCTTGGGCATATGTTTACGATTAGAACGCACTGTGCCACACACATCTGTCTTGTTCACTCGCAAGAAATCGCTGAGTAATGGGCTTGTGTACCAATTATCGATACATAATGTATGCCCCTTATCAAGATAAGGTACCATCATGCTTCTCACTACATCACCTGAAATACCAAATAACATCTTGGTATCTTTCAGTGTTTTACTTCCTGTGTATACAACAATATCCAACACCAGGCCACTGTCACAGTCACAGAGTACAGTTTTATACCAAAGTGTTTCCTCTTGCTCGGTATATACTGCTTGAATGACAGCCTACCTTTGAACAAATCAAAGACTCGTCAATTACAAGATTTTTGAATGGATAAAAATATATGCTGAACTTTTGTTTGAGATGCATAAAAACATTTCTAATCTTGTATAACCTGTCACTTCTGTCAGGCCTTGTTTTGTCAGAGAAGTGCAACATACATAACAGTAAGATAAACCTGTTCACTGGGATGATTTCACTGAAGACTGGGGTAGAAATTAGCCGATCTGTGGACCAGTATGCTTTTATATTATGCTTATAGACATGAGGCATAAGCATTATTGCTGCAAAAAGCAAATACATTTCTGCAACAGTCATCTCTTTCCACCGGTGTAGTCTTGACTGTGTTGATATGATCGTATTTGCCATGGTGTACTCAAAATACTTATTACTTTCCCTGACAATAGTTTCCATCAATGGCTGGTCAAAGAATAATTCAAAGAATTCCAGTTCATTGGCTGTGGTTCCAAGGGGACAAGTAGGTAGAATTCCACTTTGAGAGTCATCAAAGTGGTGGGGCTTGGGAACAAAATAGGGATTTTGCTGCCAATCCCAGATACGGTTTGCTGGTGGATACTGGACATCATAGGCTGGTTGTGCGGGTGGTTATGGTTGTGGTGGGCTGGTGGCTGACGCTCTGCTTTGTCCTTGAACTGAGGAGTCAGCAGCATGGGTCCCAGCCTGGGCTGGTGAGTCACGCATGGCAGTGCCACTACCATCACCACTACCACCATCTGCTGATGCCTGTGGTCTATCCATGCCAAGTGTATCCACATCATCCTCACTATCACTATCTAACCTTGGTGTAGGGCCACGGGATGTACTCCGTCCCCTGGGCACAGCATAGGGTACACTACCCGAGCGCATGCGGCGGCATACATACTGACGCTTCACTGGTGAATATGATTCCTCACTATCACTACTCGAATGATCGTCAAGAGCAATAAAATCACAATCCACGTCACTATCATCATCATTACTGAAGTCAGAGGCCTGGCCACGCGAAAATAATAGTTTTCTCTTGCGTTGAGGTACAACTGACCGTGACTGATGAGTGCCCACACCAGAGGTAGAAGGTTGAGGATCGACAGGGTTTTCTGCACTATTATCGATATCCTGGTCATTCCTTTCGGTCACTAACTGATCAAAGCCAAAGAATTCATCTTCATTTCCACTTCCATCAGTGTCAGAACTATCAGATAGGAAGAGGAGAGTCCCAATTTTCCGTGGAGTGAGAGCTGACTTGTGACGAAGCATGGTGAACAAAGGTAACTGAGCCGGCGTTCCCACAATGCTATGCGGGCGCCTAGATTTTTTGTTTATGGCGCACACCCACCACGCAGACCCATTCTCTCACATGTAGGCCTATGAGCACTTTCGCGCTAAATTTGACGGCGCTAGAATTTTGGCGTAGATCTACGGTTTGGACACTCAATGTGAAGTCGTAGGTCTACGGGACGGACCCTGAAAGGGTTAAAAGCAAATTTTTATTATCCTCTTTTGGAGCATTAATGAAATGGAAGATCTACACTAAATTTGCCTAACAAAGAGAAAATAGGGTTACATTCCAATGACTTCAAAGTTTACCAAACAACTTAATTTTTAAATAGTCTACCAGGTAAAAATTAATAGTTTTTCTTGCCTTACATTGTAGCTGTCATTGCTGGACATGGAAGTGTGTGGAGAAGGGGTTGATGTAGCCTTACTGGGCTGAGGTGGATGGATGTGATACTTTTGTTGATGTTGGTGCATTGTTGTCAGTAGTTGATTATTGTCCTGGAGTGATCATGCAGTCTGTAATGCATCTCTGGTCTCTTTTATCCTACATTACTTTATACTCATCATCATCCTTTTCTAAAAAAAAATTTTAGGTCTTGGTGCAGACTAAAAACTCAAATAATTTACACAGTCAGCAGGAAAATTTTCCATAGCAACATCAACAACTTACAAACAATCACAACTCAGTCCCAGTTTATGAAGCTGATTGCATTTTTGAAAGCTTTAAAACCATCTTGCACTCAAAATACACTTATGGAAGTACTTCTTTTTTCTCATTTACGATAGGGCTTTGTGCCTTGACTAAGTGCTAAGTGGGGGGAGGCCTTTCCTTTTCTCCTTAGTCAACACATTCAGTAACATTTCTGTCTTGCTTTTTAGTTGTACTAACCTCTTTGACATAATTTTTACTATGTCAAAATTTGCCACTGCTTTGTAAAGGGGTCTTATATTTTCGCCCCTTTTTCCTCTTTTTCTCTCCTATTTCTCTCCTTGCGTTCTATCTCCCCTCTTTCTGTCTCCCTCTTTCTCATCCTGTTTCTCCTCTCTCCCCCTCACCCTCTGTTCCATTGAGAACTACCCTTAGAGATCTACCATGAAGGTAATCACTGAGGAGACATAGCATAGAGCCTGCAATTCCCAGTGCTTGCCGTTTTGCCAAAAGGCCCTGGTTGGCCCCACTTGTCAAAAGCAACAGAAGGTCCAGTGTACCATACAGCTGACTATGGATCCCTCTAGTGACTGGTGCCATTTATTGGAGAGGTTTTACAACAGATCAGCAGCAGCAGAGTAACCTTTCCTGAAGCCATATTGATGGTCACAAAGTAGTGAGTGGTAGTCAAAACACTGTCATTTTTCTTGAATTATTGTTTTCAAGGATCTCTGCCAGTGGTTGAAGGAGTGACACTTGTCTCTTGTTGCTGGATTTCTGCTCAGCTCTTATTTTGTAAACAGAGATGGCCATTTACACTGATATAGTCAGTGCTGGAAAGGTATGAGTTTTAGGGTGCTGCTAGCTGGTCTGGCACTATCTTCTCAGCAATCTTGGGCCTTAACTTGTCTGGGCCCAAAAGCCTTTTCTTGGGGTCAAGCAATTTAAGAAGGAAATGCACGGCACTCCTCCTGTCCGTATTGTCACCACTGAACAGCTTTTTAATCCTAAACGTGGACAGCGACATTGAGTCTTGCCACTTGCAGAAGTGTTTGTGGATAATACGATTTTTTCTATTTTTCTTATTATTTTATATAATTTTTATGTTCTGATAATTACAATTTATAGTAGTTCTTGTCATTTCATAACCAATCTTTGTTCTGACACTAGTACATTAGGTACTGAAATTGTACTCAAATTGTCACAAACCACACTGAAGGTGGGACTTTTACACCTGCCTTTGGCCATTTAATATTGTCTTGGAATATATACAAAGTATTCATAGGTCCCACCAATGTTTTGGGTATGTGGAAGTTCTTCTTTCAACAAGCCGGCTGTATCCCACCGAGGCAGGGTGGCACAAAAAGAAAAACAAAAGTTTCTCTTTTCAAATTTAGTAATTTTAAACAGGAGAAGGGGTTACTAGCCCCTTGCTCCCAGCATTTTAGTCGCCTCTTACAACACACATGGCTTACGGAGGAAGAATTTTGTTCCACTTCCTCATGGAGATAAGAGGAAATAAACAAGAACAAGAACTAGAGAGAAAATAGCAGAAA